CTCAAAGATCTAAAACATTTTCTATATACACAAAATAACCATTTCTCTCAAATATTGTTCACAAATCTGAAAAAATCTGTGATAGTGAGCACTTCTCCTTTGCCGAGATAATCCATCCCACCTCACAGGTGTGGCATATCAAGATGCTGATTAGCAGAGGTGGGGACTCGAGTCGCATATTTTTTGACTTGAGACTTGCTTGACTAACATTGATAAAAGACTTGACTTTGACTTGGTATTCATGACTTGAGACTTGACTTAAGCTTGAGATAGATGACTTGAAAGGACTTGACTGTTTAAAATTAAATATTTGCGTTTGTTTTTGTAGTGAGATATTACGTTTAGTTTTTTCGAAAAACGTGATTATAGCACCGTGCGCGCAAACCTGGCAACCCACTAGAAGGCAGGAGTGTCAGTTAACATGGCAGCGGCTAGCTTTACTCCACAAATAGTGAAGTTTGGATTCAAGGATTATTTTGTCGATGACGGTAATAAGAAGAGAACATCGATATGCAGGGTCTGCAGCATAAAGATCAGTGACACGGCCACCACAACATCCAACTTCATTCGTCACTACAAAAAACCCCACAGAGAAAGGTGCGTGCATGTGTTGTGTTAGCTAGAAAGCTAACGTTAAGTTTAAGCTACGTTAAACTTGGTTTCAAATCGATTAAGCAAAGAGAAGAAAACACGGTAAATGAACACTAGAACCGCCAAGAGAGAGAGAGAGAGAAAAAGAGATGTCTCGTTTATTTCTCCTGTGTTATTATCAGAAGTTACTGTACATTTTTGAATAATGTAGTTCATCTACTTTTAGTAGTTTGTTTAAATGTTTTAATTATGATGGTTTTTTTTGTAGAAGTGCATCATTCCTTGATTTATTGTAAAATGAATCTGAACTTTTTGATCTGTTATGATGATAAACTGAAGCAATTTCTAAATTAACCCAATTAAGTGAGTTGTATATCGTCCTACTTAGTTTATAAGGAAATTATGAAGAGGAACAAATTAAATGATTTGAAAATGATATCTATGTGGGCGCTGACGCTGTTGGCGGTTCAAGTGTTAACATAAATTGAAATTAAATATGTGTAATGGCAAATGCAAATTAGTCGCTTTTCGGCGCCTCCCGCTTTTTTAACGCTGATTTGGGTGACTCGTGTAATTCGTGGAGAACCGAAGAGTTTTCGTTGGGGGGGAAGATTTGTTCTTCAAAAAAGAAGAAGAAATCTAGACCGCAAAATAATTAAACAAGCGAGTGCCTGTTTTTCCTGGCCAATGACAGGTTCATTGAACACAACACGAGCGTAACGTCTCTTCACGTTAAGTTCCCCACCCCTGCTGTAAATAATAATAAAAACCCTTGATTTATAACTTAACATCTCTGTCTCCTATTGATCAGAGTATATTATAAAGAAGAGCCAGTTAATTGAAGCATTATAGCACAGGCCTTTGTCAGATGGTATATTTGACACTGTTTTTTTTCTGCTTCGAATAGTTCTCTCTTTTTTCACCATACCTGTGTTTGCATCCCTGTGTATGATTTTCTTACCTGGAGTTCTGCCTTTTTGAACAGACTTTTTTAGTCCTAGCTATATTGTCTGCAGTTCTAGGGTTAATATTGATCTAATATGATTGTCATCGGTCTAAATTAGATTTCAAATGATTAACTGTGTATGTAATGAAGATCATAGTGTGGGTTGAATCCATTTTCATAACCACTGTTTTTTAACTGATTTAAATGCGGAAACTGGGCTTATTCATCAGAATTGTGTATGACTTGACTTGCTTGACCTGAGCAATGACTTGACTGACTCTCACCACAGTGACTTGGGACTTGCTTGATACTTGTAGGTCAAGACTTGAGACTTGCTCATGACTTGCACATGTAGGACTTACTCCCACCTCTGCTGATTAGACAGCATGATTATTGCACAGGTGTGCCTTAGGCTGGCCACAATAAAAGGCACAACAATGGGCCTCAGGATCTCGTCACGGTATCTCTGTGCATTCACAATGCCATCAATAAAATGCACCTGTGTTCGTCGTCCATAACATACACCTGCCCATACCATAACCCCACCACCACCATGGGCCACTCGATTCACAACATTGACATCAGAAAACCGCTCACCCACACGACGCCACACACGCTGTCTGCCATCTGCCCATAACAGTGAAAACCGGGATTCATCCGTGAAGAGAACACCTCTCCAACGTGCCAGACGCCATCGAATGTGAGCATTTGCCCACTCAAGTCGGTTACGACGACGAACCGGAGTCAGGTCGAGACCCCGATGAGGACGACAAGCATGCAGATGAGCTTCCCTGAGATGGTTTCTGACAGTTTGTGCAGAAATTCTTTGGTTATGCAAACCGATTGTTGCAGCAGCTGTCCGAGTGGCTGGTCTCAGACGATCTTGGAGGTGAACATGCTTGATGTGGAGGTCCTGGGCTGGTGTGGTTACACGTGGTCTGCGGTTGTGAGGCCGGTTGGATGTACTGCCAAATTCTCTGAAAAGCCTTTGGAGACGGCTTATGGTAGAGAAATGAACATTCAATTCACGGGCAACAGCTCTGGTGGACATTCCTGCTGTCAGCATGCCAATTGCACGCTCCCTCAAAACTTGCGACATCTGTGGCATTGTGCTGTGTGATAAAACTGAACATTTCAGAGTGGCCTTTTATTGTGGCCAGCCTAAGGCACACCTGTGCAATAATCATGCTGTCTAATCAGCATCTTGATATGCCACACCTGTGAGGTGGGATGGATTATCTCGGCAAAGGAGAAGTGCTCACTATCACAGATTTTTTCAGATTTATGAACAATATTTGAGAGAAATGGTTATTTTGTGTATATAGAAAATGTTTTAGATCTTTGAGTTCATCTCATGAAAAATGGGAGCAAAAACAAAAGTGTTGCATTTATATTTTTGTTCAGTGTAACTGTTATTCAGCAGGTTTCTACAAGTGCTTTTGCTCTCCAGGATGATTAATGAATTATAATTAACTTTGAGATTGTATTAAGGTGTTATCACCACATTTCCTGTAGAATTCTCTCCACTTTCACTAGCAAATAAAGGAATAACATGCACAAGAAAATAAAAATAAAAATAAATCAAAAAACACTTAGTAATTTACACATTGTACAACCCTGTTTTAGATAACTAATAACTAAACCTTGAATTTAGTGAGTTCAATATTAAGGAGCAAAAGCTGCAACTACTTTTCTTTTTTAAAATGTTGTTTCAAATTAACATTTGCACTATACACGAATTAGAGATGAGGCCAATGTAAATGTCAGTAGTTCTGGTGATATAAAAACACAAAATAGAAATGCAAGTTTTGATCTGATGATGGATGCTATGAAGAGTTAGGGATCATTAACCTTTATATTATTCATCCTCTGGGGATCATGAATGCTGAACCAAACGTGACGTAAATCAAATCCAAATGAGAACCTGCTAGTGGGGCATAATCTTTTTTCTTTAAAAGATGATCATCAAAGTCATTCATCCTCCGGGCATCATGGATGCACACAATTCAAACCAATCAAATATTTGTTGAGATATTTCAGTTTCAACCAAAGTGTTGGCAAACGACCAACAGACAGAGGTCTAAAAACATTAGCAACCTAAAATCTAGCCATTTCCTTGATTCGTTCTCTGGTTCCTTGATTTGGAGTTATCTCACCAAGTTAACCCCTCACAATACTAATAATCTCTTAACATGCGCTGTTATCGGCTCTTATCTGTCCACCTGACAACAGGAGGTGATCGGGGTCAGGGGGAATATTGAGCTGATTTTGACGAACATGAGTGTCAGGCAATTGTATAATCTCCTTCTCAACATTGAGGGGTAGACTTGGGATTTCTAAGAGTACTGTTACTCTGGGGGGCTTTATTACACACTTGACTCTTGACCTCAGGGTCCTAATTTAGAAACGTCTCAGGATGAAATTTGATCTCAGCAATTTGCATAGGTAGAAATCCAGGCCAACAGTTATTTCGAAACCTTCATGGGGAAAACTCCCCGCTCCATGCCAGCCGACATCTCCTCATTCCTCATTGTCATATTCAAACTAAATGTTCCAACACCCTAATCCTTCGACAGCTGAGTGTGTCAGGCTTCTCTGAACAGCACGAAAATATTCCAAAAACCTCTGCTGTGATTATGACAGGACCAAACATGCACACTGACCCCCAGGAGGATCGGATGCAAAAGGCCAACATGTCCCCATTAAACTGGTCTGCAAAACAAACAAACAGAGACGTGTGCAAAGAGGACATGTTGCTGCAGATGAAATCCAACTTGAGATAGGATCTGAACACCGTGACCTGTTCAAGACTAACATGACTAAAAATACAACACAAGTAGGACACTTAGATCGGTCATATTGAATTAAATCATGGCTCATTTAAAACTCTTATTTCTGTCTTTGTTGAGCAATGCAATACTTGGATTGGATGACAACTGAAAAGTAAACATATTGATTTATTTAAACTTGGTGCAGCTTGCACAATAGGCTCCACTTGCAAAAAAAGAAAGATAACCCTGATTTTAAACTGAACTTTGGATCCTGGTTCAGACATTTTAGGCTGCTCCAAAGCCAGTAAGTGGGGTCACTATGAAATAAATGCATAAAATACCCAAGTATAATCCAGAAAATTATACTTTACACTTCATCATGCTACCCTGTTGTACAAATGTTTAATAAATAAAAATAACTTGAATTTAACCGATTTTCGGTTAAATGTGTTGCATTTAAATAAAGTCTTTAATACCCTCCAAAGGACTTATTTTTGCTGCTTTTAAAGGCCAATTATTTTGACACTTCATAGTTGGTTTCTCTGTAAAATACACTTCTAAATACACTAGGCAGCAACATACAATCCATCACATAGAGCTTTTAGAGAGTACACACTGCCATCTGCTGGCAAGGACTCTACAATGAAAAAGATGAAGACTAATTTATAAAAATTAAAAGAACAGCTCACACAGACTTTTATCAAACTATCATTTTTATTTTTATTGAAGGTTACAGAGCATCTTTCTTTAAACATTTAAATATGAATGTAGTGACGTTAGTGGTCTCCAAACGGTCTGTTGGTTTTACATTAAATACATACGTTTATTTTTCAGTATATTAAATATGATGTATCATTGTCTTCATTTATCCTGGTCAATATCTGACAGAGGGATTTAACTGATTCAACATTTATACATAATGTCTTGTGGGGTGTGATTCTGACTATGTGCCTTTGACATGTTGCTGATCAGTGGATGAATTTACACACTTTTACAATGAATTCCTCACTACAGATGTTTATCCAAATAACACATGGTGCATGTCCATTCACGCTCATCAGACTTAGCGCTGCCTTCAAATATCTATAACCACACATACCAACAGTGCCAGTCTGGGATGGCTGTACAAAACACTGTTTGCTTCTTTGGTGGAAATGTTGCCATGTTCATGTCTCACAGCCAAAATGCAATTACATTCAGTGTGATTGTCTTTTGTTTCGTGAGTATTTTATTAAACATTTGTATTTATGACTGATGGGGTGTAGATGAGGAGGGGGTTCACACAAGTCTATGATCGTTTTTTTCTGTTCTCCACATTTCTGAAGTTATTCGGCCTAATCTTCATCTCTGCAAATTCAATTGAGTGTTCGTGGCCCTTCCAGTGGAACCAGTTGATCCCCTGCAAAAAGAACGCAAATCATGGTACAAAGGCCTTCAATAGACATATCTGACATGTCAGCTGTTCCCCTGCACCGTACATCCAACACAAATAAATATCTGATTTGTTTCTTAACAGCTAACAGTTCCAAAAAAGTCAGAAATGTTGGGAAGAGTGTGGAATATTTGATGTAGATCACCCATTTCCTTTAAGAAAATACCGTATTTTAAATCAGAGAATACAATGTTATGATTTAAAATACTTTTAATAGCAAGTTATAACGCCAGTACAAAGAACTAGGGGTAGATAGTCCCCCTGAGTTGTAAACCTTAACAAAAATGTTGACTGAACAATTTATAATATGTGAATTTACTTTCCTTTTCTTACCTTCAATGTCGCAAATCTTTTTTAAATGTTTCCCTTATCAAGAAAGCGATAACATGAGACTTGAATAAAACACACGTACCTTACTGTGACTGAGATCCCCATATTTCCCCATGAGGTTGACACGATGACAGTTTTTATACCAAAAGGCTCCTTTGTAGGACAAGGCGCAGTTGGTGACAGCAATATCGTTATCGTTGTCGTAGGTGGAGAAAGGTCGACCCTGGTGGTACGTCATGGAGTCCCCTGGTGAACATATCAACACACAGCTCATGTGAACGGGAGTGTATTCATTAAAAGCAGTCTGATAAGATTGAGTTAATTGTGTTATAGAGGCCTTTCCTAAAGCCCCTGTCACACTGTCCCGAAATTGACACCCGATGGACACACGATAAAGAAAATGTTCAAATTCGGCTGTGATCGTAGTAGCAACATCGGGCCATTCGTGAGGGCATCTTAAGGCGAGACACCCCAGGTGAATAGGGTAATTTTTTTAACTTAAAGGTATCAGCTAGAAATTTCTCCAGTTAATTACTTACAATAAGGCAATTGTCTTTTGTATTACAAATTTTCTGAAATAGCATGTTTAAATATGCAAATTAGCCATTATCTCATTAAATATGCACATATTTTAACACATTTCAGGAATCGAAATCTGAACTTTGGATACAGCCAGATTCAAAATTCTTGTTTCATTTTGTAGTCATATTAGTATCTAAGGCTTTTACAGAAAGGATATTGGATATCTCTTTTTATCACTCCATAAATCAGAAAATACTGTCAACAGCCCTAAAATATCCATTTTCGCCATGTTTTTAGGTATACAATGTTGTATAATTCAGGCTATGAATTATATATGAACAAACCCTTCTGTAAAAGCCTTCATAATATTGATAGGAAGATAACTGGAAGGTTTGGTGTATGTACGTGCTACTGAAGTTGAAATTTCGAACTCAGAGTAGGAGAAAAAACTCAATTTGAGAAAACGACCTTTAAAGATTGCAGTGAGGCGCTAGCTAAACCCTCCTGTTCTTTGGATGATAGCTTGCGCATCGACGCACTCCGTGAAGGTATTTCATGTTCAGGGTCATTTTGTTTTTATAACCTTGCTTCGTGCAAGTGACAATTGTTGTCGTCTTCTCTGTGAACGTTTTTTTCGCCGTTCTTTTGGCATTTTGAGATTTCAATTTCTAGCTGAAAGCTAACCAGGAAGTGTTTTAGCACACCACGTGACGCATCTGAACGAATCACGTTGTCAGAAATTGACACCAGCCAATGAGATTTCGTTTCTTGGTTTAAGACCCCTTTTTGCTTTCACGATTGGTTGCTGATACAAAGGAAATGACCATATTTGGATCCGATGAGATTGTGCAGGAGAGACACAGCTTTCCAGCGATACCTCTGTTGACATGGTGCACACAGCGGTCGCGGTACTTTATGTTACGTTAGAATGCTAACTTTTGGTGAATTTAGGAGAAATCTACAGACGCAAATAGACAAACTATAGTAAAATAAACACTTAAATGTGTATTTTGTACGTTTTCCTTCCAAAAGCCTGAAAGAAAACATGTTATGGAATCAAAATAGCACAAAATCTCAAAATTGACCAGTACTTGAAAAACGATGTTTTTGCCTGCCGTGTCTCGCCTTAAGCCATCGTATGACCGCCGGTGGAGTTTCTCAGGCTCCGGCAGCATCTTCGTGAGCGGCAACTTCGTGAGCGGCAACTTCGTAAGGCACTCGTGAGGGCATCTTGTCAAGTCGTGTCATCTTCGTGTTATCATCGGTGCCATCGGGGATTTGCCCTCACTCTGATCGGGGCAAATGCCCAATGGCACCGATGATAACAAGATGCCCTAACGATGGCCTTACGAAGGGCAAAATTGACACACGAATTCAACACGAAAATGAACCTTCTCAAGGTCCTTCGGCTATTTTTTGGCATGTCAAAGATTTTGTCACCGCTCACGAAGTTGCTGCCGGAGCCTGAGAAACTCCACCGGCGGTCATACGAAGGCTTAAGATGCCCTCACGAATAGCCCGATGTTGCTACGATCAGAGCCGAATTTGAACATTTCCTTTATCGTGTGTCCATCAGGTTGTTTTATTGCACAACAAAATCATGTAAACATATTATGTAAATAACCCAATTTGTGTTCTGTGAAACTGAAAAGGATATAATATATTGTTTTGAAGGCGAGTTGACAGGAAGTTGTTGTTGCTATGGAAACAACAACATGACGGAGAAAACGTAATATCTTCTACATATAAAGACGGAGAAAGTAAAGAACAAAGTCTGAAGATATCAGTACTGTATCATAGTACTTTAACATAATTGTTTGTGTTACTTTCGTTGCCGTTGTATGTCTTAAATGTAATGTAAATGTTGCCTTCGTGTGTGGTTCGGGGCCATCTTCGTGCGAAATTCACAATTCCATATTCGTGTGTCCATCGGGTGTCAACTTCGGGACAGTGTGACAGGGGCTTAAAGGAAACCTTCAAGAATGTATTGCTGAATATGAACTATTAGCCTAGTTAAGCATAGATAATGCAAATGGGGAAACACAATCTGTCTACTAAATATCCACGTTATATCTCGTTTAGTTAATTTGTTAAAAACTTGAGGTGTAAAACTATAACGGTTTCGTTATACAAAGATGTGTGTGCCATACTATATGTACGCTTGTAACATGAAGCCCAATTTGCAGTTCTTTATTTTACAAATGAACCGAACAAGATATAAAGTGTTAATAAATGAGCTTTAGTGACGCTGGTAGGTGACTTTTCTTACGCCACTTTTTGCCCTGTTTTCAGCTGCTACTGTTTACTCGACAGACATTAGAGAGGATTGACTTTCTCTTCTAACTATCATTGGTGAACTCAAATAAGTGTAATCCACAAAAAGACAATCTTATCCTTTAAACTAATACCCACCTGCTGTTCCACTGTACGCTCCCATGTAGACTTTGTAGCGGGTTCTTGGTTCTGCAATCGTGAACTTGTCGTACTGAGCGTAGGCCGATTCTCCTTCATCCCTCATGTCCACTCGCAGATCATAATGGCCAGAATTTGTGATTTTATGAAGGTTGGAAAGACCTGGAGTAATATAATATGTGTGAGTTGTGAAGGTACTGACTAAGAAGAGAAAGACAGACAGATGAGGCTAGAAGACGGGAGCTCGTACCCAGCCAGAACTCATCGCTCATGTTTCCAAAGCCAGCAGTGTAGTTCTTCCAGTTCCTGAAGAACTCCAGCTTTCCATTCTGCCGTCTGAGGAAAACCTGAAGAGGACAGAGTGTCACAACAGCATTATATACATCATAACAAAGAACAACGAAGGTCACCATGGTTTCTGATTATCATTATTAGAGAAAACAGCCAGTATGATAATATCAGATTCAATGTCATTTTACAGCTGGAATGATCAATTATTTTCATTATGGATTAAACTGCTGATTGTTTTCTAGATTAAACAATTGTTTTTCATATCTTACACTGGACTTATATTTGGTTATTTTATTTCGCTGGTTTTCATTTTTATTGTTTTAGGGACTTTTTCTAAATGTAATTTTATAAGCTCTTTCTTTTGCACTATGTCTCAATGTTTTAATGATTTTTTAAAAAGCCCTTTGAATTGCATGGTGTTGAAATGTGCTTTATAAATAAACGTGCCTTGCCATGCCTATAAAAAGGAAATAGTGAGGAATGTCCATCCTAGTTTCTCAATGTCTTGTTTTGCCATTCCAAAACCCAAAGATTTTTATTTTAATATTATAAAACAGAAAAAAGCTGGGAAACGTTTGAGAGTCTGAAAGCAGCATTTTATGCCTTTATTGCATTAAATATGACTGTTTCTCTCAATATGATTTTTTTGCCAGTCTAGGTTGCAAAAGTGCCTTTGAATGGAGTCCAGCAGGCTGAGTCACTCACCATCCAGCCTCCTCCGTCTGTGGTCATGTCACAGTAGACCTGGATGGGCTGGCTCTCCTCTCCTCCCACGCTGATGGTGTAAAGCCCAGAGGTCGTCTCTCCGTTCAGTAAAATCTCAGCGCAGTCTTTAGCGTGTCTGTACAACTGTCCAACTGGCAGCACACATTAAAAAGACATCTTAGCAGGATAACCTTCAAGACAGTATACAGTGTCGTGAGTGAGTATGGACTTTGGAAAGAAAGAAGGTTTTGAAAAAGAGAAGAACGGAAAAATAAAAGGTTTTTCCATTGTGACACAGAAAGAAACATAATCACAGGTGCAGTATCAGGTTGAAGGGAAGGAATCTGCGCTAGGAAAGGTAATATATTTCAAAGTGCATCTGGAGGGTTGCTTTAAAAAAAAAAAACTTTAACTGCTACAAGAATATCATCAATGACGTCACTTTTTAGAAGAATAATGACAAACAAAAGGGAGACAGTGTTAGCATGCACGTGTTTCTTTCTGTCCTTACTGGTAGTGAAGACGGTGGTCACATGACGACTCCTCTGGGGTCCAGCGATGGCCTGGAGTTTCACATTGTACTCTGTGGAGTCGGTGAGCTGAGCCATGTTATAAGAGGACGCTGTCGGGCTTAGCACCACTTCCTGAATCCGTGCACACACATTGAGAAAAAAACATTTACAGAGAGCAAGACCATACTGGAGAGTTGACTGCAATATGTAAACATATACATCATTTCATTTTTGTATGGAAAACAAAAATAAATGCAACACTGGACAAGTAGGACACGCCTTCTTCTAGGATTTTAGAGTTATTCTGTTGTAAAAATTCTGCTGATTTGTATTGAAAAGCCTTAATTATTTTTGTATCAACAGCATTTCTAGACTAGGCATTTAGGATTACTAGACTAAAGATTTGAGTCCAAGATTTTCATGGAAAAGTCTTGTTTCTTTTCAATAGTCATATGACCTTGTGACTCATAATCCATACCAGATATTACACACCTGTTTATAAAGGATTTAAGGGCATTTTAATTTTTGAAGGAATATTGTTATAAAATGTCAGACGTTTCTTGAATCATGATGGACACTTTAGTAAAAATATGTTCTGCTTTTCTTTGAGTGATTATTACAGTATCCCTGAGAGGCAGGTGAGAAGAAAAACAATAGCTGCCAAGAATGTAGGAAATGAATCCAACACCTGATGGTGTGCTTTGGAAAACCTCAGTAACAGTGAGTTTATGCAGTCTAAAGTTGTGTTTGTTTAAACCCAAAACCCTCAGTGTCGTCAGTAATGTACACACCCTGATTACTCCATCAGCAGAGTCAAAGGTGAGAATGTAACCAGTCACTGCCGCCTGCGGAGGTTTCCATGTGAGAGTCGCACCGTCAGTTTGGACGTTAATAGCCCTCAGATCATGAGGAGGATCCACATCTGAAAACACAAAATCACACCGTGGATTTAGCATTCCTTCAAGATAGACAATCATTTTTACACATTTCCTCTCTCTACAAGCCTACCGGTGGTGAATTCAGTGTCAGCAGAGTCACTCTTCTGAGCGTCTCTCATAGCGTGAACTCCAACTGTGTAGTGGGTTGCAGGAACCAGAGAGCCCATCTCAAACTCCACCGTGTTCCCAGAAACATGCTCCACCACGGGGGACACTGAGAGGAAGGACACACCCACATCAATAATCCAAATCACATCATCAGAATACATCTAAATTAGTCATAGGTTGTATGTTTAGAAAACCCTTTGGACTCGTTCAATCATTTTTTTTATATTGATAAAAACTATTACTGGCTGTAAAGTGAACTTTCTCATGATACAATGGTTGGTCTTTAGGTTAAAGATGTATGTACTATAGTCTGTATGTACTATATGTTTCATTGCAGTTTTGGGAAACGTAGACCAATGTGCATAACGATAGTAATATAGTAGAATCAATTCAATATCAATAAAAAAGTAAGTAAACCGAAGCATTAAAAAAAACAAATGATATACTGTAGAATGCATTTGTACTTATTTTTCAAAAATCATGACGATGTAAAAGTCTGTCCTAAAATACCATACCAAAGTGCCATTTCCTCATCCTGCTAAATATATTAAAAACGATCTATTAGCATAGATGGGTTTTTTTAATTTTTTTAATGAACTAATTCTGCTTCTTGACTAAATGACAGGATATTGCATGTACTATATAAATAAATGAGAACAGAGACACACCCGAGTCAGCACTGTAAGTAATGATGTAGCCATCCACAGTGGCGACAGACGGTTGCCATAGCAGCAGGGCGGACGTGTCAGTGACATTAGCTGCAGTCAGGCCCTGAGGTCTGTCCAGCGCTGCAGGACACACAAACAAGAACAATTACATTTTCCACGAACCGACTCCAACGTCATCAAGTGTTTTAAAAAAGAAGAAGACGAAGAAGCCAACCTGTGATTACAGTGTCAGTGTTGGGGTCACTTTCCTCCAGGCCCTTCATAGCACTCACAGTCACCTGGTACTTTCTGCCTGGGCTCATATTGGGCAGCAGAGCCTCGAACACGTCGCCATCCACAGTCACCATCAGCGGGCTTCCTGCAGGAGATACACAACAAAATATGGGTCCTGCAATAATAACCAAATAACATACTGTACATGGATTTGACGGTTTACCTACATTCTTCTATCTATGACTAAGCTCTGTTGTAGAATGTATTCACTACAGTTTATTGCAATCCATGGGATAGTTCTTGAGATGTTTCAGCCTCAACCAAAATGGTGGATTGACAGTCCACACTCCCTAGAGCCATGCCACTAACAAGGCTTAATTTCCTTCAACTTCAATTTATTTGTATTTACTTGCACTATTTTATCTGTTTTATTGTGTTGCACTGTTGGTGGAGCCTGTGACCTAAGATTTTCATTGACATAACTACACTGTAGCTATGTACAAATGACAATAAAAGCCTTGAATCTTGAAACTGCTGTAAACTATAATTTCAATATCAAATAACAAAATTAAACAAGATAAATACATTCAAATCTAGACCCGAAATACTGATTTATATCCGTCATTATCTATAGAAACAGAAAAACACAGATTGACCTCTTACCTCCTTCAAAGGGCACGTAGGTGATTCTGTAGTTATCCACTGGAAAGCGAGGCATGGACCAGTGGACCACAGCTGAGGAGTCTATCACTTCAGAAAAGCTCAGTCCATTTGGAGTACTGAGGCCTAGAAAAGTACAAATAGAAATGTGCAGACAGATAAGCAGAAGAAAGGTTATTTAGGTGAAGGAAATATGGCTAATAACACTGCGTAAATAGAAGAAAACTATAAACATGAAAGATCCCAAAAGACCATTCCATTGGACATGGAGTTAAGCCTAAATATGAGGAATAAAGATTTTTAGTTGGACTGTGGGTTCAGTTATCAGGCAGCAGATCACACACATAAAGGTTTAGTAGTTAGTCTTAAATGGCACACTGCTGTGGTTTTATATACCTGTCTGAGCAACCCCGAAAATAGGTTGTGAGCGTCGATCCAATGTGACACCGGAAAGCTCTATTTCATACTCGGTGCCACTCATGAGTCCAGTTAAAACCTTGGTCCTTTCATCACCGCGGACACTGTACTCGTGAGGGTGGGCTAGTCTTTTACTGTCTCTTATTTTGATCACAAATCTGTCAAACAAGTCTTCATCAGACGTCCATGACAGACGAAAACCTTCAGCCGTGGCGTCCGACACAAAAAGATGCTCCACCTCCGGCTCAGCCTCTGATTAGACAGGGGGGAAACGATGCAGAAGTTTTGAAGTTTTCCCAGAAATATTCATCAAATTCTGAAGTATGGAAGAAGTAGGCAATCAGGCAAGAAGGTGTCCAGGTGGAAGACAGGGTTATATTCCAGCCTTTTTGTCACCTCCAATCCGACATGCTGAGGCGTCCGTTAGTGTAAATCAGTTAAAACCACAGCACACGGGCTACAAAGGCTTGGGGGAATTGAAAAGACAAGATACTTTTTGTAAACCTTTATTTATGTCAGTTAACAGGGTCAAAGTCCTTTAAAGGCTCTAAAGGATTTGTTTGATTTCGCAAACACCAGTTGAGACAAGGTCCCCATGCGTCTTCAAGGCCAGCCTCGATGCATTCAGTGCATTCAAAGACGATGAAACAAATGAGAAGAGAAAATAAATCAATTGACATTTCATGCCGAGAATGTCTTGTTGATTAATCAGTGTTTTCCTAAGTCTGATCCTTTTGTAATATTCACTCCAGTCAGATAAATAAACCAGCATGAGTTAGCAGCATGGTGGGAGTTACTTTAAAAAGACGCCCAAAGACGTCTGTGTAGCACCAATCAGATATCTGAAGGAAAACACTTTTAAAATATGAAAACAAGCAAATTTGCTTGCTCATATTTTCAAGTTAAGAAGAAAACAGGCGGGGGTCCACATCTCTTCCCCCGGTGACGAAGCAAATGCTTAAAACAGAAGAAAGGTGAGATCATTCTGAAAAAGATTTGTTTTAAATACGAGTTAGGATTAGACAAACAGTACAGGAGCTGAAGCCTCACCATTGAAAACATGGCAGTTTACCAAATGTATCATCCCCAAGCACATTTTGTTGAATCAAATCTTCTAGTATTATAGTTTATATAAACACAAAAACATTTATATAAACAAATGATGCCAGCTGCCAAGTTGTAATGGTGAAACTTCAGAATAGGTACTTCTGACTTCTTTAGTAGCAAGGGCCTGCAGTGTACTGTGTGGTACCTGTCACAGCCACTGTAGTGAGAGGCCGAGAGAGGAGCCCTGACTCTGACACCCCGGTCAGCCTGACCTCATAGCCTATGCCGGTGATGAGGCCCCAGATGTCCAGGTCACTTTGGTTTCCCGGCACAGTGAACTCCTGAGGCTCCAGCAGCCAGCCGGAGTCTGTCACCACTATTTGAAAATGCCTGAAGCCGCCACTAGAGGGGGCTAAAGCCTCCTGCTGCTTCACCTCCCACGACACACGGAAGCCGAAGGGGGTGATTCTGGAAATGCTCAAGTTTTCCACTCCAGGCAAAGGCGCTGGAGAGGAGTGGGTTTGATTTTTTTTTTGTGAGAAGGGAACACATGTGGGAAGGGGAACAATTTCCTATTAGGTGGATAATGTGTGCAATGGTTGCAAAAGCATATAATAAAAGCTGTTCCTTTTTTTGAGATTTAAATGAGGCAAAATGAAATTTAAGATGTGAAAATCAGATTTGAATACCTCTGAAATTGAGGGCCAAAACACATTAAGGGCACATTTCGCATGCATCATAAAGTTTTATGTAGTTCTACAATATATAAAAATGACTAAAAAAAAGCATGTCACTATCGTTTGAAATTCCACATCCTGTCTGGAGCCACAAAACCAAAAGGGTGAAAATTAGCAAAAATGTACAGCAATAACGCTGAGATTTCTCAGATGTTAAAGATGCTTAAAGCCGTTGATCACGAGTAGTGAAGACAAAATGGTCTAGTACAAAAAGGACAAAGCAAATCACAGTCATCTAATGGCTATAAGTGTTGCTGCATCTTACCACAGTTCTCGCTAACAAGTACTGTATAATAATCCAGTGATGTTTTTTAATGCAGGACTTTTTTGTTATCTGTGGATCCTAGGCCTGAAATGCATTAAGATAGTCATTTTGGTATAGCAGGAGACCAAAACATACTTAATTCCATTAAGAGTTTTTATGAAAAACCTGATCAAAAACCAACTGAAGAGAGTTTAAGATATGAGTAAAATACGTCGTACCTGTGACGGCGTGGGTTAATACAGTGGCAGTTTGGCGCCCATGAGAGATACCATACAGTTCAATATCATAGCCTGTGGCATCCATCAGGCTAGAGACCGTTAAGTTACGGGCGTCACGAGGCAGTCTGAACTCCAGTGTATCAGACTGCTGCTCAGGGTCACTGACCCGGATAACAAAGCCATCAAAGTGACCTGACACAGTGCTCCAGGACAGGCTGAGGTTATGTGGGCTCACGGATGAAGCAGCTAGGGGCCCCAACAGTGGGACGTCCTCTGAACAGAAGGAAACACAGCCTTTCAGTTATGTTGTGCTGCTAAATCACAATGTGGTTGGATGTGGATGAAGTGTAAAAGAAAGCATGTATTTAGGCCCGTCACGATAATTACTTTCTTTAAAAATTGTACGATATACAGTAATGACATCACCTTGATATTTTCTACATAATCCAGTAATGTAGAATATGTAGATGTTAGTAATCATTTTCACAATATTGTCTTATTGACTAAAATCGATCATTTTGTTCCTTTTTACGCTGTCAGCTTATTGTCTCTATATATATATAGGGAAATATCCTTTATGGTTTTTACATGAGATCAATTATTTAATTATGATCAATTTATTGTTCGATTTATGGAAATAAACTTGATCATTGTATGTTATCAACTTATATATTTCAATGTCTGAACATTTTAAATAATTAGTTGTTAAAGTCAAAGTGGGCTCTTCGCTCATTATATCAGTGGCCAAAAATGGCCTTGAAATGACAATATTATTTAACGCCAATAATTATATATCTTCCTAAATTTGTATTTTTTGGGACGGTGGGAAATAGCATTTTGATTTCCCTGTTTGGATCACACATTGGCAATAAAGTTGACTTTTACAATATCGTCCAACAAAAGTAGTTATCATGACAGGCCTACATGTGAGGGGTACCTGTTGTAGCTACTTCAAACAGGGGCTGTGTGTTCTGGCCACCAGCGCTGGCGTACAGCTTTATGTTGTAGCTTGTGCTGGCTTTGAGCCCGGCCATGACTGTGGAGTGCACGTCTCTGGGCAGAGCGCGCCCCATTGCCTGCGAGGGCAAAGCAGACTCTCTGACTTCTACTATAAAGTTATCAAAAGCCTTCTCTCCTGTCCGCCACGACAGAGAAAATCTGTCTGAGGTAATGTTTGAAACAACTAGCTTGGACAAATCAGGCTCTTCAGCTACAAGGGGAGAGAAAAATATAAGATATATTCATTTATTGACATAGAAAGCATGTTTGAGTCTATATTAAAACAGGCCCAACTCAACTTTAAAGTGCAAATAAGAATATTTAAAAACTAATAATATTGAACCCTTTCCTTTGTAATAAAATAAATCAAAATACCTGTTGATGCAACAATACTGACAGCACTTGTTCGGGATCCCTTGTATGTCCCATAGAAGTAGGCTACATAGTCAGTGGTGGGCCTGAGCCCTTTGACGTCATGGGACTTTGCATTGTGGGAAATGTTATATTCCTTTGGCTCCGTTAGCCAATCAGAATCAATTATCTCCAGGATATAACCATCAAATTTGCCATCAGTGCCGTTCCAGGAGATTGAAAAGCTCTCTGACGTTAAGTTAGAGATATAAAGTTCTCCAAGCACTGGTAGATGCACTAAAGAGAGAAATCATTATTAGTTTTTCATTTTGTTTTGCAACATTTTTGCAGAATACATTCAGATTGAAGTAGGAAATGGTTGGTTTGATAGAATTGTGTATAGCGTTACAGACAACTCACCACCCTCCAAGTTGTTATTCCTGAAGCTTAAAAGATTAAATACATGCTTTTATTCTGCCATCAACATGAATTTAGGAGCTTGAATTTGAACCAGTTACGCCTATTGCTTTTATTGAAAAACTGATAATAGTTAGATGGAGAAACATTTAATGGCAAAGGGAAACTAGCTGAAGATTACTTGCCTGCAAGTTTAAAAGTGTTGATCAAAAATTGAAAATATGGCGAAGGAAGAAATTGAATAGTATAAATAAAAATAATTTGTCATGCATGTACAGGGAGGTCTGATCATGCAGTTGATGTCCTAACATTATGAACAAGACAAATTCTGCATAATGTTGCACCAGAGCAATTCAAAGAGGACAGCTACACTTTTTCTTTTACATGCAGTCACAAATCAGTCAGTTGCTTTGCAAACATGCAGCAGATCAAATAGCCCATCTTTCAGATGTAAAACAATGTGTACTGTTAACCTCACATTATATTATTAGCTTTTTACCTTAATAACGGTCTTGATTAAGATTGAATTATTTGCCACCTAGTAGTTCAAAAGGAAATAAGGATATTTACTTTGACGTTCTGCATCAAACTCTACAAACTATTTCACAAAGACTAAATGAACTCACTAAAATTCACGTGCACATACATGAGCAAATGATCCCTCAAGGTTAATCAATTATACACTGAATGAGTGTTGATGGGATGGAATGAGATGGTCACGCTGTCATGGTGTGACAGGCGTGTGATGGTGAAAGTTATTGGTTTTGCTTTTGCAATCATTGCATCACATCAGCGTCAAACCTCACCACAATGCAGGGGATGGTAGAGGAAGTGGGGGAGGGGGCTTCATGCACTTTTGTAACTGGGATGGAGGGAGCCGTTCGGGGTAAGGGTGAACATTTGAGGGGCGTTTGCTTTGCTCAGTGATGCGGCATGGGTCCATCACCCTGCCCTCTCTCAGCTAGACCGAAACAGTGGCTGGAGGGTAAAGAATGGTTCACGGCATGTTGGTTAAGATGTACAAAAACACAGAATTAGGTTATTAGGTTGTTCTGATTTCATGCAGCGAGGTGTGGATGGTCCACAGAGGTTCTAGTGTCAGTGTATGCTTCACAGACATGGACTAAAATAGAAAGTTAAAAACCAGAAAAAGGAAAGAGTGGAAGTTAAAGAGTTAAAGGACAAAAACACTGCAACGCTGCAAGTTGCAGGTACCTGTGGTGGCTTCAGTGTACACGGGTTCCAGGAAGGAGCCCTGATACATCCCAAACAGGCCAACCATGTAGCTGGTGTTGGGGTTGAGTCCGGAGAGGCCCAGGCTGAAAGCATCTCCGGACAGACTGAGGTTCTGGCTCTCTTTGAAATTATCCAAGTTTGTTACCTCAATGACAAAGCTTTCAAATTCCCCACCCATGGGGCTCCAGGACGCAGTGAAGCCGTCCCATGTAATGTCAGAGATGGTGAGGTTCCCCACCATGGGCTTCAGCTCCTCTGCTAGATAGACAGATCAGAGCGGGTCAACTGAATGGCAAGATGGATTGTAAATCTGTCAAAAAGCTTTTAAAGGCACATTTTTATCAGGCCAATGATATAGAAAACAAGTGTTTTAGATTTTAGGGAGTCAAACTAAAACAGAAACAAAGTTGAAAAATCACCAGAAAAAAGTTATAATATTTTTTTACTTTAAACTTTAAACATTTTCGCAATTTTCTTAAAATATTATGCATTTAATCTCGAAATAATACAACTTATTCTCAAAACATTTTGACTTTCATTTTTAAATATGGTGTCATTCTTTTCTAAAAAATACTTTAATAATAAAATATCAGAACTATCTTCTTGAAATAAAATGTTTTCCCTAAAAATATCAGGACTTTTATCTTAAAAGTTTAAGACTTTATTTATTTAAATGTAAGGAATTTTTCTGGAAATATTAATCTAAATCTTGCTCGTTTTTTTGTGGCCCCAATACTCCGCCATGGAAAAAGTAAAGCAAAGGAATGTAAGGGAAAAAAGATGAATGTGTTTTACAATAAAACAGCAACAGTTTGTACAATCATCCTGAAATATGAGAACATAAAAAGTCAATGGATGGGATGATGATGATGATGATGGGTGGTGGTAAATGCCTACAAAAGAAGAAATATTAGCTCCATGTACCTGTAGTAGCAAAAACTGTGAGAGGTAAAGACCGCTTCCCTTCCACCAGCCCTTGAACTGTAATATTATATTTTGTGGAGGGGGACAATCCCTCTATTTCAGCCTTTCTCACACCTCCTGGAAGTGTGGTTACATGAGCCTCTGTTGGCCCTGATGGAGCTCTGAGCTCCACCAAAAAGCTTTCAAAAGCCTTGTCAGGCGCCGACCACGCCAGGCTTAAGCCGGTGGAAGACACATTGACTGTGAGGTCTCCCAATACTACCAGGATGGAGCTCTCAGGCTCAGCCCCAGAACTCATCACTTCAGTATCAGAAGTGTTTAGGGGACGGAGGGGATCTGGGTTTCGAACTGCTTCAGTATCCAGAGCAGTTGTTGGAGCATCTTTCACGCTCATCATAAGAACATCTGGAGAGGTAGGTTTGGGTGCTACAGTGAATAAAAGCAGGTTAAAGAATGAATATGTTACCGGCTCTGCTGAAAGAAAATCTGTGAAAAAGAAACTGGGTAAAAAAGAAGAATACAAGTTATTGTAGTATTCATATTATTCCGCTTGAAGCTACGTCCTTAATTTACATTATTTGTGAAGATTTTGTGGTTTAATCCGTGTTTTTCCAGGCCCACAGTTTATCATCAAGCATCAGCTAAGAAATGAATAGCACTAGAGGCAGTGTTATTAATTTTTGAAGCATCTGAGTAGTCCATCAGAGTGGAAGTACAAAGTTGACTTCAAATATGTTGTAAAGCCATGCATAGACTTTTTTCTGCTGCTTTCTTGCTGCTGTCCAAAAGAATAACTGGTCTGAGTCACTTGATTGACATGCGAGTGACGTACTGTGTCATCTTCTGAGACTGCTCTTGTTATTGCGAATGAAGGCGATAAATGATGCAGATGGACTTAGCTTTCAAAGAGCAAAATGGTTGCATTTCAAAGCTCAAATGCAGGAAGAAATTGGGACAGATAGAGTATTAAAACCCCTTGTATCTGAAGGTGTCAATGGCTCAGGGAGGACATAACGCCCACCAATTCCCAGTGTTAATTTCTTCTTGTATTTAAATGTTTGGCAGCAACCTTAAGCTGCAGTATTGAATACCCATGAGCTGTGTTAAGATAATATCATCTATGTTGGGTTTGTCTTCATACTGTCTCGTGCCAACGATTATACCGAGGACGGTTGCTCTGACAAAATGAAATCTTCTTGCTGAGAATCTAAAATAATGAGAAACCAGCATGCAAGTCATATGGCTATTCGGATGCAAGCAACTATTCAAACGAACATTTTGCACTAAAAGGAGACAGTTTCAAACAGGATCAAATGTCCCCTATAAACTAAAAGTAAAGCGTATAATACCTGTGACTGCAACAGCTTCAAGTAGCGAAGATCTTTGGCTATTGATATTTCCATAAAGTTTTATTTGATATTCTTTCGATGCATTCAGTCCCTCGATTCTAAAGCCAGTGGCATCTCCGGGAAGTTGGACTTCTCTCACATCCCATAACCGCTGAGTGTCTTTATATTCTACTGCCAAACTATCATAGACACTATGAGCCTTCAGTTCCCAAGAGAGGTCAAATCCGTCAGGCGTGATGCCCGAGATAGTCAACTTCCCATGCTCCTCCTCGGGCTCCGTCTCAACTGAAAACTGGGACTCTGAGGGATCTAAATGCACAAAGCTAATGACATTGTCCTCCGAGCCTGAAGGAGTCATTAGATCACGGTCGTCTGAGTCTGCTAAATAAAATGTAAAAGTGGCTACAAGGGGGGGAAAAGGCACAAATCCAGACTGCGTTATTTTTGGTGCAAGTGCATATCATTTCTTGTGTGTTTCTTGATAGTTAAATCATCAAATCTGTTAAGTTTAAATGTTTAGCTTATTTTAAGCATATACATATACCAATAAAATACTGAGTGACTTACAATTGAGATTATAAACATGAATGAAAAATAAACTGGTTTTGCACAAATAAATCGGTATCATTCCTCTTTGAAAACGTTTTTTTCAAGATTGTATGGTGGTAAAATTGCTCCCTACCCACCTGTGGTTGCAGATAATGTGACCGGTGTGCTCCTCTTGAGCCCCCTCTCAGCAGCTAAAGTGACGGTGTAGCTCATTCCAGGAATCAGGTTGTACAAGACATGGCTGGTCTCAGTGGGCGGGATCTCCACCTGCTCCACCTCTCCATCCCTGGAGACGTACACCAGACTGTAGGCACCGACCTTGGCCTGAGGTTTCTGCCAGCTCAGCGTGAGGGAGGTCTCTGTTGACTCAATTTCTTTGAAATCTCTGGGAGGATCGATATCTAAAACAAGAAAGTGTCAAAAACCTCTGATGGTAAATCTTTCTCACTTCTGCAGCATGCTCAGCACAGATCATAAATCGTTCCCCCCCCCCATTAGTTTAATTTCATCACCCAATTTGTATCAACAAACATGGTTGTTTGTGTATTTAAGAAGGGGTGTGAAGAAGGACTGTTTGGACAGCTGCTCTCTCCTCACCAGTTGCTGCATTTGTAGTAGCAGGGAAGCTCTCTCTGTCATTCTTCACCGCCGTCACACCAATCCCATACTCCGTCCCTGGCTTCAGCCCTGCCACACAGAGGGATGGGAGGACATTAATGACCAGGTGGTATGACTAACACAAGTCATATGTGGTTGTGTTTATTGTATGTGACCCTCACCAGTGATAGTAGCTTTTGTGGTGTCTCCTGGCCCTCGAGGAAACAGTTCCTCCCCATGAGTGGCTCCAGAGAGGGGAGTGTATTTCACCAGATAGTTGCCAACATCAGCCTGACTGTTGGTCCACTGCAGGGTGATGCTCTCGTCTGTCTGTGACACGGCCTTCAGGTCCTTGGGTGCATCCAGGGCTGATAAACGTAAATACATTTACAATCATATTAGGAGAATCCACCTTATGATCCCAAACTTAAGATTTATTAGACATTTACTTTATTATCTCGGCAAATATTGGAAATTGGGCCAATCCAATTGCAGTGTAAAAACTGATGTGCACATTTCAAATCATTAGACATGGATTTACATTCTGTACAATATATCCACGGACTAGCATGTGCTATTCTATATTTGTTATATTTCCAACTCACTGGTTCCTACTGAATGGTTTAATCTAGAAAAGGGAGATTTCAGTTTTTTAAGTCAGTTATAACCAGTGGCACAGCCCCACTAGTGTCAGCAGAAAGTATTAAAAATAATGATTACAAAAAAATTAATTAAAATATATATAAAATATATTTTAAGATCATGTTTAATCATCTGATTCGTCTGTACATTGCTGTTTTAGTCTGTGTTCTTCTAATTAGTGTCTACAGTGTGTGCCTATTGAGCTGTTTAGAGCCATGTGGGACAAAACCCGATCCTGCCCCTCCCTCTCACTGTCTAAGTGAATGGTGACTGTAAAAACTACACTGCGCATGCTCAGAGTATTTTCCTATTTAATGTGTGTGGCAAAAAAATAATGACCATAGGGGCATAGTGCTGCCATCCCCACCATACGTCATCTCACATAATTCTGAGCTGATTGGCTGTAAGTATGTGTGCCGCGAAAAGTGTGGTGTGTGAAGAGCAGACGAGAGACGCGTCCTAAAACCCGGAAGTAAGCTGCGCATGGGTTCCCTCGACAAAAAAGCAATGAGATTTCTCCATAGGATTTTAGAAAATAGCTCAAAATAAGATCTGTGGGAAACGTACCTGTTAGATAAATGCACGTTTTGTTCAGCCGGATAATATCCACATGTCTACCCTACTTTTATAATTTTCTAATCATAAATCTATCGATTAGATTAGATCTAATCTATCGATTAGATTTATGATAGACTTTTGAAACTACAAGAAGATAAGGAGGACTTTTACAAAAAAGTAATAGAGATTTTTGTCCTGAAGGACAGGCAAATGGACTTCATCTTCAAGTCAAGGTAAGACCACAATTTTATTGAAAATGGGATCTTACTAAGAGAAAACAATTCAATATGTAAATGATAAAATTAATTTTTTTGGGTATCCTTTTGTTGAACTGTCTGTTTAAAATTAATCGAAGCATCAGACTAAAAAAGCTTTTGAAAATAATATTATATTTTGATTTAGGTCAAAATATAATATTTGTAAAGCTGAAGAGTCGGTGCCAGTGCCTCACCAGCCACGAACCTCACTGCACGTCACTGCAGAAGCTTATATATATCTAAGTTTATTGTGCCCCACCACTTTTGTACATATAAAAACGCCACTGGTTATAACGATGGTTATAACTTAAAACAGCCTGTGACTGTATTTTTAGACAAATGTATGAAACAAGAGGACATTTTGCATTTATTGGGGACAATTTCTAACAGAAAATTCATCTACAATCTCTATGCATTACATTAATGCACACAATATCTGTTTTTTTTTTTATTACTGCCAAATTGTATTCTATATTTTATTCCATTCTATTTCTATGTAAATATTGTTATATTTCACTATATTTTGTATTATTTTTAATATTTTGTAATGTTATTATAGTTTTCTTAAAATAGTTTTTTTTTTACTTTTATGTATGCACCATGACCTCAAGTCAAATTCCTCGTACGTGTCAACCTACCTGGTAATAAACCTGATTCGGATACATTTGGTTCTGTAGTGTATTTAGGTCTAAATAACATGGTATGTGGAAATTATTCAAAATACACATCTACTGTCTGATAATAAAGGAACATGTCATCCAGGGTAGCAGTGTGGCTCAAATATGTTATTTCTAATAGTTTTCCAACAACAACAACTGAGCTCTATGGCACAGAGGAGGTAGGTATACATTATTATTTGATATACACACACAATACTTAAGTCGGATAAATGTGTAGTTTTGGTATTTTTCTGGGATTTGTTGACAGACAAAGACAAATAGCCTTGTATTGTGTCATGCAAATCACACAAGCAAATACTGTACGTGCAGCTTAAGAATGAAAGAAGATTTAAATCTGCAGTGACTGATCATAAACCTACCTGTAGTGAACGTGGCAATGACAGGGTCACTGGAGACGTCTGTGCGCCTGGAGATGAGCGACACGGTGTACTCGGTGTCTGGCTTCAGGCTGTCAATGCTGTACTGAGTCTCCGGGATGGAAACCCCCACTATGGCTTCTTGTGAAGGCTCAGAGCTAGGCCTGTAGGCCAAGGTGAGTCTGTCCATCGGAGCCACCGGCAGAGACCAGCTGACCAGAGCAGAGGAGTCCGTCACGTCCTTCACCTCCACCTGCCGGGGGCCGTCAATCTCTGGGGAGGGATTCAGGTGAGAGAGAAAAGGGAGAGGGGAAAGGATGCATGAGAAATGTTTGATTCATTATGAAACTTACAATTAAGTAAGAATTCGGTTGACAGTCCTTAAAAGATGTCCATAATATTTAAGATATATATATTTAAAATATATTAAACTGGTGGACCGATATTTCAGTAAACAGTTAAAAAAGGTTTTAATGCTGTTCGTTATAAAAAAAGTTTACATTTGCTGATGAAAAGTAATAAAGACAACTGTAGGTCTATTTGTCAGCAAGCAAATACGCTTATTTCCCAAATGATGCAGTCATTTAGTTTATTAGTATCAAGCAGATAAGGGTCTGCAAAGTTGTTCTCAGCAAAGATTGAATACGTCTCTGTAGGAATGTGTTAACTGCCAATAGTACAATTCAAAAACAATCAAGACAAAATCTCTTACATTGGTGTGAGATCAATATTAAACGCAAACATTATCACTCCTGACATGGTATTTTGAGCCTTTAAAAATAAAAGATCTCTCATAAGCCTGAACTTGGCTCTCTTATAAGATGAAGCAATAAGTTGGATCAACCTGGGAAAAGGCTTTAATGAAATATAATGTGCTTCCTTTTCAGTCTGGCTTTATGTTTACTGCCTGACACATTTCCTGTGTTAACATGTGGGGGCGGTATCTTTTCTCAGTGTTAAACAGACAACTGGGGGTGAAAAGGGTCTGAAAGGATTAACGGGACTTCTATTATTCATTTATGAGGGCTGTGTCTAGTTTCAGCCAAGACAAATAAATGACATCAGAAATGAAACGGCGTGTTACCCAGAGTGCAAAAACACACCAACGTCTAAACTAAATGGCTTTTCCATGCACAATGAAAGTTGTTTGGCCTGGCGTGACATATCGATTGCATACTTAAAGTGTTTAAAAAACCTAATGTATGGAGTAACACAGCTATAAAACTTCACCAAGCAGAGGACAAGAGCTGAAAGCAAGATTTAGTGAAAATGAAAAATCATGCGAGGCTGACATTTAACTTGTCCGAGTTATTACTCTTAAGCTCAAATCTGTACGATGGACGAATGGAGAGCCAGAGGGGATTTCCTGTTATTACTCTTCTTTTCATTATGGAATTTCCCTCTTTGACATTAATGTATTTTTTTAGCTCTGTGCTCGAGGAAAGGGAAGGTTTTTTTAGTACCGAATTGCTAAAAGCTGCCATAGGGAACAGAGAAATTACATAATCATACAGTTTGAACTTTGATTTAGGTAGAAACTGCATGATTTTGAACATCTAATCTCACCTGTTCACTCTTAATAATGCAAAAATAAATTTAAGTTTACAGACACAAACTCACTGGTCATGACTTTTTCAATTGTCTGGGGTCCTCTTGTGTTGTTCTTGATGATGTTAACAGAGACTTCATACTCCTGTCCTGGTCCAAGTCCTGACTGGATAAACTGGTTTTGATCAGGTGGAAGGGTGCTCACGATTTTTCCATTTTCTTCTTTCTGCAAGGATACATAATGCACAAACGAATGTGAAACATCCTGTTCAGGACTAGCACATAGGTTACTGGGAGAAAAACAGGTTAACATGCACTAACTGCAGTAGGCTGAACTATTCTACAAGTCAAGTTTACATCCAGCAGGTCACTATCTAGAGTCATGGCATTTTTTGTTTGGAAAATGCTTACTAGCTTTTATGCTGGCATTTCAAATTCAAAAAGTTAGGAAAGCGGTTTGGATCTTTATTGTCTAAATCTAATCGAGGAAACAAATAAATGCATTATTGAAAATGTATAATTATTTCCTTTAAGTTGATATGTATTTAAAAAAAACATTGATGTGACAGTACATGCTGAGTAATGGTAGAGAAGACATTACTTTCTCTGTGTGCATGCAGTTGAGTTCAAGGTGTATTCTTCAGCAGTGACAATTATATATTTTTATATTTTGAACATTTAAATTGAAACACGGAGATTAGAGTTTTGTTAAATTAAAGTTTGGATTGAATTATTATTATTGTGTATTTGTTGTGAAAATGTGCAACTAATCAGCTTTTTCCAGAAGAAATCAACCTGGGGTAATATTTACTCAGTTAAATCTTAAGAGGCCACACTACCAGTTCTTGCGACTCATGTTTAAAGTTCCTTATTGTAATAATAAGTTAGAAGTCAGGTAGAGAGCATACAAAAAAACAAAGCTGCATGCAAACAAATTAGCACTGTTGGCACATCAATGCAAAACACATCAACACGCTACACAGGAATGTGAAAGTACAGAGACTGGTTGTGTGGTAATCTACATCCCAAAGCCTAATATCAAAATGAACATGGTCAGGAGAAGACATGCATATATAAAAATAGGTTAATACTCTGCAGCAGCTACAAAATGTGAAAAAGCTTCTGAATTATCAGCTGACACAGTAACTTATTCTCGAAGAATTACTGGCTGGAATTCTAAGCAGCAGATTTACCCACAATTCTATGACATCCGGACTTGCCCTCTCTGAGGTTTTTCCCATATGTCAAAGCAATTTTAGCACTGAAATAAATCCATGTTTTGCTGAGACTTCCAATAAGCTTGAGGAGCTTTATCACATTTTCCCCTGTCACTTAATAAAATCCTGTGCAAGCCTTTAAAGGAGATAGGACAGACTGACCGTATTGCGGAAATAGATCTCCCAGCCATCAAAGGAGATGTCCACCTGGTCCCACATCACCTCCACAGAGCTCTCTCTCACTGATTTGAAGATTAAACCCTCTGGCTGTGGAAGTGCTGCAGGGATGAACAAAATACATTATTTACTGATTATTGGTAGCTAGGATACATCTTCTTCTTTCTTTTCTTTTTTACAATAAACTAGCATATACCTGTTGCCACCCGCGCACTGACGGGGATGCTCTTCTTGTTGCTTAGAACAGCGTAGACACTGATCAGATACTCGATGCCAGGCTCAAGCTCTTTGACGGTGGCAGCAGTTTTGTCTCCTGGCACAATGAACTCTTGTTGAAGACCACCAGTTCTGGTGGGCACATACGTCACAAGGTACTCTGTTACCAGCATCTCGTTTTCCCAGTTCAGGTCCACCGTGTCAGGGGTGACCTCGCCTAAAGTAAGGTCCTTCGGAGAAGACACTGGAAAAAAAGAACGAAAGGAGGGGTGTGTTTTCTTTGACAGTTTCTCACGCCCTCAATCCACCAAGCGGAGCTAATTCAAACACCAGCTGTGGTGTCAAGAACTGCCATATTGCGAACAAATGCAGACATTGACTATGAAAACTATGTTCACTGAAATAGTTTATATCAAGAGTGGTGAGAGAAATTGGAGAAAGGGAGGAAGTGACATCACTCTGGATTTAAATGAATAGTACATATACTTAACACATGGAAACATTCAGGATTTGCGGATTGCCAAATATTTTATTTTTTGTGTGAACTTAACATGGCTTCTTACCTTCTGAGCAGTCTTCTCCGATGTATCCCTCATCGCATACGCACTGTCCGTTCTCACAGTGGCCTTTGTCCTGGCAGTTGTTGGGGCAGCTAAGGTCTGCACAGCTTTCCCCTTCATATCCAGCCTCACACGTGCACTTTCCATTGATACAGTGTCCCCTGTTGTTGCAGTCACCTGGGCAGGCGTGCACAGAGCAGTCGTCTCCCGAGTAGCCTTCCGGACAGATGCACTTGCCGTCGACGCAGGAACCCCGGGCCAGGCAGTCGTTGGGACAAGCTTTCTGACCACAGGCCTCCCCACTGAAGCCTTCATCACAAACACACTGCCCATCGATGCATCGGCCGCGGTTCTGGCAATTGTTAGGGCAGCTAAGCTCAGCACAGTCCTCACCGGTGAAGCCTGAATGACACACACAACGCCCCTTGATACACTCACCGCGGCCGTAGCAGTTTGAAGGGCAGGTCCTGATGCTGCAGTCCTCACCAGCAAAGCCCTCCTCGCACACACACTGGCCGTTCACACAGCGCCCCCTGTGCCGGCAGTCATTTGGACAGGAAAGCTCAGAGCAATCATCTCCCTGGAAACCAACATCGCAGTCACATTGCCCGTTTATGCACTGGCCTCTGTTGTTACAGTTGTTGAGGCATGCTAACTGGCTGCAGTCTGCGCCTTGATAGCCCGCATCGCAGATACACATCCCGTTGAAGCACGTACCTCTGTCGTTACAGTCGTTGAGGCATATAACTCGAGAGCAGTCCTCTCCATTGAAGCCGGCAGCGCACACGCATTTGCCATCTACACAGTAACCATTACTGAGGCAGTTGTTGGGACAGGTGTGCTCTCCACAGTCCTCCCCGGTGAACCCCTCATTGCAGTAGCAGGTACCATTCACGCAGCGTCCACGGTCATAGCAGGCTTTGGGGCAGATGAGTTCAGAGCAGTCAGGGCCAGTCCAGGGTTCATCACAAACGCAGTCTCCGTCTTCACAGCGGCCACGGCCTTGGCAGTTGTTGAGGCACTTGGTTTGAGAGCAGTCTTCGCCATAGTAACCATAGGAGCAGATGCATTCACCTCCCACACACTGGCCGTATGTACCGCAGTCCACAGGGCAGTCGTCGAGTGCGCAGTCCTTTCCGGTGAATCCCTTGAAGCACACACACTTTCCGCCAACGCAGAGGCCCCGGTCCTGGCAGTCATTAGGACACTCGGGATCAGAGCAGTTGGGTGGTTTCCAGCCCGGCTCACATATACAGCCACAGGTTTCAGTGCTGTAGTTCCCATGACCACTGCAGTAGGGTTTAGTTCCCAACTTACCTTTGATAAGAAAGTAGAAAGATTTTTTTTAACAAACGTTTTTTGGAATATCATCTCTTTTGTATTACAATTTTGAAATGTTTGAATACAATCAGCTTGTGAGCTTCTTTCAATAAAGCAATTGCTTATTCACTTTCCTGAGAATTAGCAAGTATCAAGAATATTGATACCGCTCTATGTATGTACTGCTTTTGATGAATTAAACATGTAAAAGGAAAAATAGAAAACAGTTTAAAAAGGCAGGTTATCGGCAGGATTACTTCTTCGACTCGTGCCATGTCCCTTATTTCCAGTGATTATGCTAAGCTAATCAGTGGCTGGCTCTAGCTGAGACTGGCATCCATCTCCTCTCTAACTAAGAAACGGAATAAGAATAATAAATCAATCCTTTAAGATTGCATTAGTCAGAAAGGGTCAAAAGCTTATTTTAGCAAATATTATGGAAGAAGACATTAATTCATAGTCAGCATGAATGTCATGTCATTTAATCAAAAGAAAAAAAAACATTCAACTGTAAAGAAGATGGAAGTATCACACTCCCCAATTGGAATTCCTCAACAGATGAATTGAACAGATGTGCCATTTGGTATTCTTAGTTTAGCACTTTACAATGACATTGGGAACAAAGGAATATTTTTACTGAACTGTCTAGAATCTACATACCAGACAAAGCATGAAAGACAAATGACACCTACCTGTGACCTGTGAACTGCCGCACTGATCTCTAAGTGTTGAAACTTCTCCCTCGAGCATTTCCAGTCGGCTTAGGAGCTCTTTCAGGCCGGGCATGTCGTCAGTACAGCCACAGGCCCGTCGTGGTATGTTGATACGGTGGGTGAAGACGATCTGGTTCTCCCCATTGACTGTGTGCTCAGTCCCGGGAAGGCCTGAAACGACTGCTGCATTTGTAGGATGGAGGTCCGTACTCTCTGGAGTGTCCACATCCTCCGAGCACAGGGCACTGGCAGGAACATTGATGTTATAGACGTGGTTGAAAACTACAGGACGGTCCGCACTGGGGAGCGTGATGTTATGTCCTTTTTTAGGGGATTCCAGAGTCTGTCGTCGATGCCGGAGGATTTTCTTCACGAGCCCGGCATTTGATAAGCTGAGCAAAGCAGTCAGGAGGAGGCAGCCCAGAATGCCTCGTGCACCCATGCTAGATGATGTGGGACGTTGATGTATTTAAAAAAATATCCGATTTAACTCTGACTAAAGGCCAATCCTCATTTAAGATGAAAGTTCTGGAAAACAGAAAGAAAGCATTTTATTACAGATGCATTTGTATTGGGATGTAGAGCTGCAACAATAGACCAATACTTCAAACTTCATTCAACCAATCAATTAGTTAACTAAAAGTTTTTTTTTATGAACCTAATATTCTGTCTGTTAACAGAATAGAACACCAGATTTTCCAATAATCTTTGGATAACTGAAACAGTTATAGGCCCCTATAAATGTCATATTTTTCCTAATATTTTAATATAACAAATACAATCAAAGTATTTGGTTGAAATGCTCTCTACTTACTGACTGATATGCAAATGCACATAGATGCAATGAGGTCACAAGCCAAAAACCCATGTTTCACCTAAAGCAGAACTTTAAATGTAAAACGTTTACAGAATAATAAGTAAATATGGTCAATGTGTAACTGTTTATTGATGTGTATATATGACCCAACCTGACTGAGAAGCCATTTCACAGACTAACTCCAGTTTAAAGCAGATTTAAAAAAAACGTGTATCATAAATCCTATTGCCAGGTTCTTGCCTATCATTGTTTTAAGCCCAGTGCTTTTGTAAATAGCAATCTTTTGGTGTTAAAAAATAAACTCATACATGAAAAGGGTCTGAGAATTGACCTGCACTGCAGTTTGCTAAACAATGGATTACTATGAAGTGTTTTTCCCACTGTTTTGGAGATTTAACTACATCTTTATAAATTCCACTTCAACGATGCAACAAACATAAACACATGTTTACTGGAACAAACAGCAGAGTCCAGTCAGAAGTACCAGAATCCCTTAACACTAATTAAACCAACTCCAGGCTAGCGTGGACCACACAAGTAAGTGTGATTATTATTTACAGTTTGTGCAACATAAATAACTGAGTCACTGCACTCAACATAATACTACAAGCTACTGTAGGTAAATGAGTCCAAACATAGAGATAAGTGAGTGATATCATCTTTGTTTGATTTTGCTACGGTAAACAAAGACACTGCTGCTTTGCAAATAGTCTTCACATTCGCAGAACTTTTAAAAAGGTCAACAGCCATTCCATGTGTTCACACTTTCTCACTTGTGTTTTCTGGATTACCCAATGGAAATAGAGTGTTTGCAACACCAAGGAATGTACAGTTGTTCTGGCCCATCAATTTCTTTCACAATGCACATGTTCGAAAGTCTCAGCTGTTTTCCATGATACAGCATATATAACAAAATAGGCAACATATATCCCATGCACAGATCTCCTTCTCACCCACGATGACTTCATCAGCTGGACACCAAGAACGCTATAATTTGTGGGAGGCTCAGCGTAGGAAAGCCTCTTCGGATTACTGAGTTTCCGAAAAACCTGAGTAAGAATACTGAAAATCAATAGAAAGCCCCACAGTGAGTGCAAATGACATAATGTATCTGTGCACAGGACTCTTCCTCACAGGATGTATGACCTCAGGTTCAAATGCACGTCTGTTGCTATGTCTGGGAAGCTGCAAACTATACCTCTATAAATCGGGTATCATCTCTGTAAGTGATGCAGGATTTTGTCCAGATTTTTGGACTGGTGGCTGACAGAAGTTTGCACATGCTCACAAATGATTTCCAGAAGGGAGTTGTTCAGGCAGTGATAGCTATGAAAAGACATGTGGAGCACCAGGATTTAGTTTCCCATGAAGACTTTTTGAAACTATATATTGAGACAAAGCTGAACCTTATCTTCCAGGGAACAAAAGCAGATGTTCCACAACGATTCAGCTTCAGTACATCTCAATGTAACCATGACTGCAGTCACCTTTTCCTTACTACTTGGTTATTTCAACAAAGAACATATTTTATACTCAAGACACACAATCAAAACAGGTCATGGCACCCGCACATGAAAAAGCAACTTCATCAAATGCAAAAACACACAAGGAAGTCAAAGAGACACAAAAAAGCCTACATGAAACGAGTTTCTAAACAGGAAGAGAAGTAAGGAAACAAGTATAACCATAATAAGTCAAAACATGAGGGAAGAATATATGAAGTTGTTACAAGGAGAGAAGAAAGCTGTCTTTTTCCAAGAACCAAACATGCTTCATAATTTAGCAATTAGTCAAAAGATGAAAGAAATTGGACCCAAAACGTGCACAAACATACCCGCTGTTTAGCCTCCCACCGCTTTCAAAATGTAAACCCATGCCTTGACCCTGTGTCTACCTTTCACCCGAAACCTCAGGCTCTAAATATCCTCTATATTATCAGAATTCAGTAGACTTCTGAGTGAGAAATTAGTCTCTTGTCTGTTTTTACAATTAACGACTGAAAGGTGTTGGATTAATGGGCAGGCTGAGTCTGCTCTGTTTTCATCTTTGGTCCAAAATATGAAAAGTTATAAACAGGATGCAATACATTCTTCGGTTAGGAATTTATATTTTGGAAAAAGCACTTTAGGCAGCAGGAAATATCAGAGCAGAATGTGAGAGAAGTTGAGCAAAGGTTGCGGGCTAATGACCTACGGTCTTTGAATACAGCAAGTCGACAATACCATTTTTCGGGCTCCGGATATTCAGTAGTAATCAGCAGCGAATATTCGAATATTCGGCCCGTGCGTAGTAATCAGCAGCGAACCGCTTCAACACGTGTATTTCGGTGTATTCACGGCATTCATTTTGTTATTCTACAGTATTGTTGTTTTATAGTTATTTGTTAATGTAACCCAATTTGTGTTCTTTGAAATTGAAAGGGATATATCGCATTGTGTTTGTTACTTTCGTTGAAGTTGTAATATGTCTTGTGTAATTTGGCTTGGCTTCCTATTTATGGACATGCTTTTATTTTGAAGGAGAGTTAGCGCTGTTGACAGGAAGTTGTTTTTGCTTTGGAAACAACGTGACGAAGATTAACGGAGAAAAGTAATATCTACATAAAGACGGAGAAAGTAAACAATAACGTTTATGGTTAAGTGTTAGCACCCCTCGAAGAGGCACAAGCTCTTATGTTGATATTGGAGATTTCAATAAATTCAATTTGAAAAAAAAAACGGGAAAACAAACGAAACGAATATCCGAATAACGAAATTGAAACCCCAATAGTACTCCAACGAACGAATATTCGGATACAGCCCTAGTCGACAGTAGCAATTTTATGCAGATCAGGAGTTCCATGACATCTGAATTATGTCATTTCCATTTTGGTTTGTTTTCATTTGGTAATATTTGACACGCAGCTCGATGCATTACCTGAGTCAAACGACACATATTTTTCCATTACCCTCAGTGCCTTTGAACCCCTAATTAACACTCTTTCCTTTCCTTCTCCTCTTGACATTTGACCTGACCTTTTGTTCTCCTCACCAGCATCTTTGCATGCCTTCACTGCCTAAAGACACATATATAAAACTCAGCTTGGGTTTCACAAGTTCTCGCACATCTGGTGAGTGGTAGTATAAAAGGCATGTTATAGCTGGTGTTGTAAATCTAAACACTTGGGCTGTCAATATGTTTTGCGTCTCCCTCTAGAAAACTTTACAAGACACAGAGACTGATCATTTGCGGTCTTAGAGGTAAAGTAAGAATCCTTTGTGATCCTCGGTACTCATTTTTCAGCTGAAGATGTTGTAAAGTATTACAAATATGATTTTTATACAAGAAGGACTCGATATTGTAGCCAGAGTGCTTACAGTAAAAAGCCAAGAATACATCGACCATGGGTTGACTAAGGACATGTGAATTCTGGACATGGGAAGAAAATGTGAGTAAAAAAATTTAAATCAATTTAAACTGTTCACTAAGCTATAATCCAGAATTGGTGTAGCTTAAGTATCCTTCCCCCATGCTGGCAGCGGGATGGGAACTTTCCCGCGTGGAAAAGAGAAACCGGGAATCTTGGCCCTGGTCTTAAGACATCTGTTTCTCTCAGTTAAAGAAAATAAAATGAGTTACTTGTCCTGTTTCCACACAAACTGAAAGTGCCCCTGCATGCATCATTTGTCGTCTTTGATCATCTCTATCTGTGCAATTATTCAGTTAAGGACTGATTTTGGTCTTTATTTCACATGAATAAGAGCAACACAAGTGCAGCATGTCTGGACACACTCATGGAAATCATTTGCGGCTGATAAAGGAGTGTCATCATCGTGAATCTGCTTGTTTGTCCATCTGTGATAATTTACCGGTTCTTTTTTTTTGTTGGTAAGGTCTGATTCTCATAGCATCTGGAACAGCTGGACATCTTCTTAAGAAAAGTTAATTGGACTAGTTGGTGTAGCCAATAGAACAATAACAGAAGTTGCAACACCTCATTAGCAGATTGCACATTCCCCCACTGCTGCACAGATATCCTGAAGCGGTTCTTTAACAATAATAAACCTGAGCTTTATGTGTTCCCATGTGAGCCTGAAAAGGGCGCAGACTTCAGTTTATATCTGCAATTATGGAGTCTCTTCTCAATCAACAAGAAAAAGCTTAAACATTTGTAATAGGAGACACATTTGTATTCCTTTCATATGAGCAGTTCATACTTCCATACATGATGTATTGTGTGGAAGTTTGGGGGAACACATATAAAACAAATACACATCCTATCTTCATCCTGCAAAAAAGAGCCATACGAGTTATACATAAAACTATGTACAGAGAACCAACAAATCAATTGTTCATCAAACTAAAAACACTAAAACTACAAGACCTGGTAAAACTATTCAAATGATGTTCAAAGCCGCAAATCAACAATTACCTACCTTACAAATATCCAGGGACTTTTCACACAGAGAGAAAGCATGCACATGTTGAGAGGAAACTGCATTTTCAAAAAACCACCCGTACGAACAAATGCCAAACTGCATTGCATCTCATCAAAAGGTGTTAGTCTGTGGAATAACTGTAACGATGCACTGAAATATTGTACAAGTCTATTTAGACTGAAAGTATTATTTAGGAGCCAAATCATTAATGGTTATGAACAGGACCTGTACAATCCCATTT